GGAGGCCGAGCAGGTCCCCTCCTGCTCCGCCGGCCCCTTACCTGTCCCCGCGCTCGTGTCAGCGCGCAGCAGCCTCAGGCACACGCAGGCGTCCAGCAGCAGCTCCGTCCCGTGCGCACTGGTCCCCATCCGCACGGCCACTGTGCCCGCGTCCAGGGGCCCCGCGGCGAGCACGTCGAACACGCCCAGCTCGCAGGCAGCGAAGAGAACCTCGAGGACAGGAGAGGGCAGCCCTGAGCCGGGCCCGGTGCCGGGAGGCCAGCGAGCAGCCCCAGGGCCTCGTGCCGCCCTCAGAACGTGCTTACTGCACTCTGGTAAATTACCGAGTGAGATGCGACATCACAAGCCGCGACCGCTGAGGTCCAGGGTGGGTCCAGGCAGACCCCGCCATGAGCCCCGAGTCTTCTCGGCTCACACTCGCTCCTCACCCACCGTCCCGGTCGCTTTCTGCTTCTTTATTCATTTTAGGGAAGGGTCTGCAGGGCGTTCAGGGTCTCACTACTAGGTCAGCCTCTAACAGCCTCCCAAGCGCGGGGATTACAGGCGCGCCACCACGCCCGGTCTCCATCCCGTGTCAGGGCGCCCCGGGGATCGAACCCGCAGCCCTGGGCCTGCTTGCCGGGGCTGTAACCCGCTGAGCTATTTGCCCGGCCCCCACCGTGTTCTGCGTCTTTAATTGGCGCTGAGCATACTCTCCGGTCGCCCGGGGCTGTCCTGCTGTCTAGTGACACTGCCAGTCTACAATCCTGCGTGGGGTCCCGGCACCCGGCTGCTGAGCTCTCTGCTGCCGCCTGCCTGCCGCGACGACAGCTCTGGGCTTCACCGCTGCTGTCCTTCAGCAGGGAGGGAGGACGTGGCCTTGGGTGGAAGGAGCCACACGCCCCCACTCGGGTGGAGCTGACCGCACTTGGCGCAGCGGCGGAGGGCGTGCTCGTCGCCAGGGATGGGGCGGGGGCTGGAGAGGGGAACCCGAGGTCCCAGAGCACCGAGGAGGGCCCTGTGTTCGCGTTGCCCTTTTATCAAATGTGAAACCACTGTGGGAACCAACATGGTGGCCTCTTTGGAAGGCCACGCGTGTGTGGGATTGTAACAGGCCTACAACCCCAGTCCCAGGGGCAGACCCACAGGAAGGCAGGGCGGGGTGTCCTAGAGGCATCTAGCCTGCCTGGCGGATGGAAGCAACATTCACAGCAGTCTGCTGATAAGGGGATGAACAGAACGTAGTTCACGCACACCTGAGGAACATTACTCAGCCATGAAAAGGAATACAGTGTTGATTGATGTCAGGGGCGGATGAGCCTTGAAGGCACTCCTGCGAAACAAGCCGATCTCAAAGGCTGCGCGCCGCACGCCTGCCTCGCCGTGCTCTTTCTAGCTTCCCCAATCCTTCAGGATGGACAACCGAGCCACCCAGGGCAAAAGACACGGGGCTTCGGTGGGGAGACAAGAGTGCTCTGGCGCGGCTGGTGGAGGTGCTGTGTGCTCACCAGCACTGAGCAAGGATTTGGGGCCAAGTGTGCGTCCCTGCAAAGAGCACTTTCTGCTCAGACACTTTCTGTGTGGTGCCTCCTGCTCCTCCGGGCCGGGCAGGGGCTGTGCTGGCGTTGAGCGGGCGCCCAGGCCAGCCGGTCCCGGCACCGCAAGCCCCTGAGGGTCCCCTCCTCGCGCCGAGGCCTGCAGAGCACATCGCGGCCGGCATCGCAGCTGCAGGAGAGGCCGAGGCAGGGAGGCCCCGTGGGAGGCCAGCCGGGCACCCCAGCGCCTAGATGAGACCCTTCTCAGATGTGTGCAAACACAAAGAGGGCAGGAAACTCGGGTGACCGGAGACCACGACGGCAAGACGCGAACAGCACCGCGCCTTTGCCTCCCGAGGAGCCCGGGTGGGAAGCACCGGAGAGCCAAGCAAGCAAGCGAGGCAGGGGAGGCTGGCAGGCGGGCCTTCTCGGGCGGAAGGCCGGCGGCGAAGGGCACTGTGCGCAGATGGGCCCCGAGAAGGGGCGCCCTCCTGCCTCGGCCTCCCGCTGCCGGTGTCCTGTGCTTAGGGCTCTATTAATTAAGGAAAGGGAGCTAAATCCTCCTGAGCCGGCACCAGCGAGCTCTGCCGTCGGTCCTGTGAGAAGATTTCCGCCTGAGAGTGAGCCCCAGATTGAGCCCTGGCACCCGCTTAATCCCCCCACCCCCGTGCCCGCCCGCGTTGCTACTGCGAGGCCACAGCACTTCTCGAGCCCCGCGGGAGCGCGACCCTTCTCCCTTCCAAGCCACAGCAAGCGTCTCACAAGGCCATCGGGCCTGCTGGGTCAGGCCGCGCCAAGCCTCCTCGGCTTGTGTGCACTGTTTTATTGAGTTAAGCTGCACAAAAGCAAATTAAGGCTAATTGTAGTGAGACTGCTTGCTTCCCTTTACGGGATTACTGCGGTTAGCCTCAGCCCGCAGTCCTGGGGCTTGGCTCCAGCTCTGCCGCTGAGCTCCACTTCCGGCCCCGTTTCCATTTTCCATCAGGGTCTGCCTGAGTCGCCCGGGCTGGCCTCAAGCTTGTGCGCACCCTCCTGCCTCAGCCTCCCGAGGGCCGGAATTTGAAGCCTGCCCCGCCGCAGGGGGCTCTAGTGACGTCCACGCTTAGTGCTCCGCAGAACTCTGAGGGGGCGAGCCAACTGCCCTGCGCAGACCGAAAAGCTCTCTCCAGTTTGCCTTAACTGACTGGTCTTTTTCTCGGTTTTTGGAGGCCACACTGTGCAGCATAGGCTGGCCTCAAACTTATGGAGTCCCTCCTGCCTCGGCTTCCCGCAGGGCGCTGGGACGACGGGCGTGGGCGGCCCGTGCTGGTGACCACTTCTGTCGCGAGCGGGATGGAGCCGCTGTCAACCCTCGCGTGTCAACCACTAGCATGCCGGCCTGTGTTCTGCAGAAGCAGCCGCAGCTTTTCTCCCCTCAGTGACAGCTGCCACCC